GGCACTTCACTTCGAGTCGGCGACTTGGGCGGGCGCGGTATCATGGCAACGCCGGCAACGGTAGACGCGACGATGATAATGGCGATGTTGGTGGCAATGCTCGCACCGACGAAGGCGCGGCCATTGCGGGCGCCGATGCAGTTCGCGCCGGCAACGATGGCGGCGTCGTCGCGTCGGCGATGAATGTTTTGGAAAGAATTCGACACGCGCGCGCGGCCGACGCGCGAGAGTGGCCCGCGTTGTTTTGTTCGACGCGGATCGCGCCACGCACGCGCGCCCCGGCACGCGCGCAAGGGTGCGCGAATGATGGCAGCGCGCGGCGCCAGAGGCCTGCGCGGCAGATTTAAATGAATTGAAAAGGCAATGGTTTTCTCGAGATTGCCACCAGCGCGCGCGGAAGTTTTTCTTGAAAGCTGACTTTGCGAAACTATGTGTTTTGGAGAGCGTTTTGGACACATGGTTGTTCAAGCGTTGCGAGGCCGCAGGTTGTCGAACGATTTTTGCATGCGCGCGCGATGACGCGCGCGCAGTGTTTTATTTGTTGCAACGATTTCTCGCGACGGCGCGCGCGCAATAGCGCTCGATCGATTTTCTCGCGCGCGGGAAACCTTTTCGGCAGCACTGCTTTGACAAATTGATCAACCCATGGTTTTTTCGCGAAATCGCAAGGGCGCGCGCGCATTTGTTATATGCGTTAAAGAATCCGCGCTGCGAAACTATATGCTTTTATGTATTCTGTTACACCCGAATTTAAAATTCTTCCGAAACTGAAGGACTCTGATTTTTTTCGGCATGCGCGCGACGACGCGCGCGCACGTGCACTCCGTTTATGTTATTGTTTGGTGTTGGTATTCCTTATCCTTCTTCGTATTCTTCTTCTGCTCCCCCCAGGGGATTCTGGAACGACTTATGATTTTTGAAAATCGAGCGCGCTCGCATAGTTAAAGGATGGCGGGGGGGTCGAACCAGGCTCGGTTGGGATTTTATGAGTTCATATTTCGGACGGAAAGGTGTGGCAGAGGCAAATGCAAATTGCAACGCAAAGAGGTGCACCGAAACAAACGGGGGGGAGGGGGATCGAGTCTGTTGTTTTTTTAGAACGGATAGTCTACGCGGTGCAACTTGCGCAGAATAGTTGGTGCAATGCAATCTACGCAAAACAATTTACGCGATGCCATCTACGAGGTGCAGTTAATTTCTGTTCGCAGTGAGTTGTCCACTCCACTGCTCGCGCAAACATCCCACCCGACCACCCGCAACTTGGCTTGCAAAATCTCTTAAGACCGTGGCGGTGGGCACCACATGGCACTTGGCAGCAACAGCGACGCCGACGACGACAGCGACAACGACACTGACGACGCCGCCGACAACGATTGCGACGACACCTTCGACGTCCCCAACGACTTCGACGACGCCGACAACGACGACGACGACACCGACGACGACGACACCGACGCCGACGACGACGACGATGACAACGACGACGACGATGACGACGCCGACGACGACGATGACGACACCGACGACGACGACGTCAAGCCGACGACGACGACGACGCTGACGCCGACCGCGGCGGCGACGACGACGACGACGCCAACGTCGACGACGACGAAGACGACAACGACTCCGACGCCGACGCCGACGACGACGACGACACCGACGCCGACGACGATGACGATGACAACGACGACGACGATGACGACGCCGACGACGACGATAACGACGACACCGGCGACGACGACGACGTCAACGACGCGGACGACGACGACGACGACACCGACGACGACGACGACACCGACGCCGACGACGACGACGACGACAACGACGACGACGATGACGCCGCCGACGACGACGATAACGACGACATCGACGACGACGACGACGACGACGATGACGCCGCCGACGACGACGTCGACGACGACGGCGGCGGCGACGACGACGACGCCGACGCCGACGACGACGAAGACGACACCGACGCCGACGCCGACCGCGCCGACGACGAAGACGACGGCGACGGCGACGTCGCCAACGAAGACAACGAGGAAGGAGGGAGGACGACGCTGGCGACAACGACGATAACGACGAGGGAGGAGGGAGGACGGCGACGACGCGAACGACGAAGAAGGAGGAAGGACGGCGACGACGACGGCGACGAAATAGGAGGGACGACGACGAGACGCCGACGACGGACGACGACGACGACGAGGGAGGAGGAGGAAGCACGACCACGACGACAACGACGACGGAAACGACCACGACGCCAAAGAGGACGACGACGACGACGAACACGAGGAAAGACAGAGGACGACGTAGGCGACGACGACGACGACAACGACGCGGGAGGAGGGAGGACGGCGACGACGACGACGACGATGCAACAGCGCGCTCGCACGCTTTTGTTGGAAATCCGTGTTGCGAAACCTTGTGTTTTTGTAGGTTTTTTGTACACACGATTTTGACATCCTTCCGAAACCGTTGGGTTTTGAAGGTTTTCGGCATACGCGCGCGACGATGCGCGCGTCTGCACTTCGTCCCTTTTTTGCAGGGGATTCTCGCGACGGCACACGCGCAAGGGCGTTCGACATATTTCGACACAAGCGCGCGCGAAGCGCGTTTGGTAGCATTTTGCGAAAATCTGTTAAACAAGCATGTGGTTTCCTTAAGATTTCGCAAGAGCTCTCGCGGAAGTTTTGTTTAGCAGCTTTGTGTTGCGAAACCATGTGTTTTTGAATGTGTTTTGGAAACTCGATTGCGAAATCCTTCCCGCACCGAAGGTTTTTAAAGGATTCCGGCATGCGCGCGCGACGACGCGCGCGTGTGCACTTCGTGCCATTTTTTGCAAGGGTCTCGCGAACAAGTGTTATGTTAGAACAAAAAATCACCGCATAGTGTTTTGCACCAGGGAACCTCAGGGGGGGGGGTCCCGATTTGGCTGGGATGGTACGACTTCAAATTTAGGATGGACGGGTGTGCAGAATATATATATATATATATATATATATATATGAAATCGTACTATCCCAGGGGGAAGCGATAAGTCCGGGGGGGGGGGGAGGGGGCTAGAATCTATTAATCTCTTAGAAAAAAGAATTGGTTTCTATAAGCGAGTTGATCAGCCCGAGGGTCTTGCAAACATTCCACCCACCCACCCGCAACACGGTTTGCAAAACCCACGCGGCAGCGATTGCGACGAGTGCTTGGCATTGGCTGATGCATGTCTGCGGCCGCGCCAACCGTAGCGCGCGCAGCTGGCTTGTAGTTCGGCGCGACCGATGCAGCCGCGGTGGCGTTGACCGCTGGGGGCGTACCAGCGGGCACTGCAGCGCGAGTCGGCAACTTGGGCGGGCGCGGTATCACAGTAACGTGGACAAGGGTAGAGACGATGATAAGAGTAGCGATACTGGTGGCGATAAGGACAACGACGGCGGCACTGCCAGTGACGGCGCCGATGCTGATCACGCCGAAGACGATGGCGGCGTCCTCGCGTCGGTGACGAATGTTTTAGAAGGGCTTCGACACGCGCGCGTGGCCAGCCCAGCGCGCAAGCGTGGACCGCATGGTATTATTTGACAAATCGCGCTGCCCCCCCAACACGCGCGCAAGGGCGCGTGGATGAATTCGGCATACGTCGCTAGAGGCCCCCTTGGCAGACATTTTGGGGATTCGCGAGGGCGCGAACGCAAGCTGTTTGAAATGTGTTGTTGCGAACCACGATTTGGTGTATATGTGTGTATTTATATATGGTTTCGGGACACGTCGGTTTTGGTTTTGACATCCTTCTGAAACCTTGGGATGTTGAGGGTTTCCAGCATGCCCGCGCGACAACTCGCGCGTGCGCTCTTCGCCCCACGGTTGGCAATCCATTCTTGCGGCAGCACGCGCGCAAATGGCGTTCGAACGATTTCGACATGCGCGCGCGAAGCCCGTTTTGTAGTATTGTTTAAGTTTGTTGAACAACCGATGTTTCCATCAAGAAGTCGCATCAGCGTGAACACAAGTTTGTTTTGAACATCCGTGTTGCGAAACCTGTGTGTTGTTATGTGTTTGTTGGTCGATTTTGACCCCCTACGGAAGTGGAGTTTGTTTTGCGGATTGTGCCATGCTCGCGCGGAGACGCACGCGTGCGCATGCCGCCCAGGTATCTGCAAGGGAGTGTTGAAAATTGTCGAAGTTTTATAAACGAGTGCGCCCGCATTTTATGAGTTGCAGAAGATGGGGGGGTCGATACCGGCCGCCTCGGCAGGGATGGTGCGAGTTTATAGTATGATGGACGATGGGGGCACACTTATATGTAAATTGCAATGCGGAAAGGGGGCGGGCAATCCTGGGGTAGGTATCGTTTTCCAAAAAGAAGAAGCGACGCGACGAGAACATCGGCGACGACGGTGCGGCGGCGGCGGCGGCGACGGCGGCGACGGGCGGCACGGACGGTGAAAGTACCATGGTGTACACAGGCATTGTGGTGTGCGCGATGGCTCTCGTGTGCACAGGCGTTTTTGTGCGGTTGATGTTGCGGCGTTAGCTGTGCCGCGCACGGAATGATGCGCACACACACGCCCCCACGAAGTGCGATGCACACGCGCAGTGTGATGCACATGCGCCTTGTGGTGCGCACGTGCACGGTTGCGCCCACGGGCCCTGCCCCCCTCGCGTCTCCTGCCAGAACAGGGGCGGATCATCCACCCCCGGCGCACCCGTGGGGCGACGCATCAGAGGGTGGGACACCGCACCCTCGGCGCCAGGGGGTGGTTGCGATATCCCTTCCCCGCCCCCCTTCCCCCCCCTTTCCGCCGCGCGCGATCCCAGGATTGCAACAAACACGCCTCCGACCTCCTTGGCCCTCCCTCCCCCGTCGCTACTTGTCCCTGCCCGTCGCCTCCCTCCCTCCTCCGCAACGGACGTTGGTGTTCGGGGTGGAGTGGGGGGGAAGGGGAGTGGGAGAGAAGGGGCCAGGAGGGCCTGGCTCTTTCTTGAGCTTTCGGACAGCACCCCGCGACGAGGCGGACAGCTTCGCGTACGACAAGGGCATGGCGGACGCCCTGTGCAGCGGGCTATTCGAGATCCACGAGGACGACGATGGGGGCGGCGACGACAGTGATGTTGGCAATGGCGACGACGACGTGGGATTCGAGGAGGAGGGTGGTGATGTGGAGGCGGGGTGCGGGGTGGAATGAGAAGAGGTAGAGGAGGGGTGCAGCAATCCAAAAACACAGAGTGCCTGCTGCAGTGCGCCTTCCCAACCCAGTTCCGTCCTCGCGCGCCAAAGAGATCGTGAATACCGATTGTTCGCTTCGGCGGGTCGCCTTATTTGCGTACCGATCTCAAGCATACCTTCAATTTCTGATGGCGCCGCCTTGGGCATGTCATTCCTAGGGACAGGGATCAGCCGATGCTGGGTGGGAAGCCTGAGGTAGGCGGGTTTCCGTTCACTTGCCACAAGATATGACAAGATGTGGGCGTACTGGAATGTTGAGAACCTGGTTATTTTCACAATGAGCGTCAATGGCCAGGAGCGTGTTTCTATATTGCTTGGGACATAATGGGCGTTATAGCCCCCGCCTCCTTCCCATGACGTAACGCCCCCCCCTCCCCCCCCAGTGCGCCCCGGGCATTGCCGCCGTGCGCAGCGGGATCCGCATAGGCATCCGCATATGAGTCCGCATAGGAGTCTGGTCCGCATTGGGGATCTCAAAGGGATCCGCATACGGATGCGCATGCGCATCCGCATGGGAGTCCGCGTAAGGATCCGCGTAAAGATCCGCATAGAGATTCGCATAGGGATTCGCATGGCAATGCGCACGGGCATCCGCATAGGCATCCGCATCGGGATCCGCACAAGCATCCGCGTAGGGATCCGCGCAGGGATCCGCATAGGGATCCGCCTAGGGATCCGCATCAGGATTCGCGTAGGGACCCGTAGTGGGATCCGCATAGAGATCCGAAATTATGATTTTGTGCATCCGGTGAAAACTCTTCCTCCTTCTCATCCTCCCTTTCCTCATCTTCCTCCTCCTACTCCTCATCTCCTCTCCCTTTCTCCTTTTCTACCTCTTCCCTGGTCGAGGCTCGTGCGCACGCGAACTGTTGTGCACGCAGAAGCGCTACCATTGTCAGCCCTCCCAATTCCTCTCCATTCCTTGCCATTCTTTTCACGGGCGCTGTAGTGCGCGCAGTGGCCATGGCGTGCAGGGGCATCGTGGGCTCAAAGTGCAGGGTTGCACGAAGGGCAAAAAAACAATAATCAGTGCACATATTGAATTTGGTAAATCCGGCCGCCCCCACGATGTTTTGGTCCCGTCGGAGCCCCATCTGTTCCCAGAGGTGCACGCAAGCCTTGTGGTGCGCACAGGCATCGTGGTGCATGCAGATGGTACTGAACTTGTGAGGCGCTGTGGTCTCGCGGAGGCAACACCATTTTACCTACCCCCCGTCGTCGTCGTCGCTAGTCGCTCGTCGCTCGACGCTCATCGTTGTAGTGCGCGCGGGCGCGGCTGCGGTGCCGGAGCCACACGGCGGGGGGGGGGGGACGTCATACCCTCCCCTCGCCCCCCCCCCCCCCCCACCATGACCTTATTGCCGAACATGAAAACGCGCTCCAGACATTCAGATCGCCCACGACTTGGACGGATCGCACAGGGCATCGCATGGCCTTCCCCCATCTAGCCACCATACTTTGGTCGTTGGCCAGTGGCCTCTTACGGGCCCTGGGGGCCTGGGAGGCAGATTCGAGGCACACTCGGGGGGGTAGTTGTCGTGGCGCGAGGCCGAGCTGGAGTATGAGAGGGTGGCAAGAGGCAAGGTGAGGCTGGAGGAGAAGAAGACGGAGGCATCATGAGGCTGGATGTAGTGGCCGCTGTGTTCTTGTGCCCTGGCGGCCCCAGAACCCCTCGCCTTGTGGAAAAATCGAGGCCGGAGGTGTTTCGCTATTTTCGGCCCCCAGTTGCCCTCACCAAGCCTCGTGTCTCGTGGCCGTCAAGAAGGACTCAGGATGAAACGCCGGTGCCGGGAAGGGGTCGAGACCTCTGGGGAGCGTCGTTGTCGTGCGTGCCGAGCAGCGTTGAGCTGTGGAAGGCGGCACGGTGGCAGCCGCCCGAGCACTGTTGTCGTGGGGGCGACGGGGCCTGCGGCGTGTGGAAGCGCGCAGAGGGCCGGCCGCGCGAGCGGTCCGTGTGCGCGGGCCCGATCGGCTCGGGTCTCGGCCCCACCGAGGGGCCCATTCCTCGATACAGGGCCGCCTCCCGGCGCCGGGAGGCGCCGGGAAGATCAGCTACGTGAGCTGATTCTCACCCCCCCCCTTTGCTATCCCCCCCTTTCGCCCGGCCCGGCCGGAGGAGAACAAGGGCGACCTGAACCCGGACCCGTGGTATGCGTGGTACCACTTCTCGCATCCGCCGCTGGTGGGCGGCGCCTGCGCTCTCTGTCAGGGGCGCAGCATGCCCCCCACCCCACCCCCAAGGAGGACGAGTAATTATCCGCAGACGACATTTATGCACCGTACCATGGCAGACCCCCTGGGGCATTTTTCGTAGATGCCGATGTGCGCAAGAGCATTGAGGAGGATTTGGAAAGGACATGCGCCTCAATTCGCATCATTGGAAATTCTTGCGACCCCTGTCGGTTCTGCGGCGGAGGTTTCAGGTGGATTTTCCTGAGAGCCCCCGCCGCACATGGCGCCCCGCTTGGTACGCTGCATACTTTTTGGTGTCTTTTGCAGGGCGAAACCTTTGCACCGTACCGCGCCTGGTTTTCATCGACGGCCTCAGAGTCTGTTGCTCAGAGTCTGTTGTCGAGTTCTCTCGTCGACCCATTTGGGTCGAATGGTTGGTGTTCGCGCGTTCGTTGGGCTCGCAAAGGGGCACGCCAGCGCAGTCGGCATTCGACGACGCCAGGGCTCTTCGAAATTTCGAGGCTCGGTACGGTGATCAAACCTCGTCCGCGTAAATTAGGAGCCAGCGTCCTCGCCCTCAGCTTCCTTCTCTTCCCCTCCTTACTCGTTCTAGGCCTCCTAGATGGGGTCCGAGTAGATGGGGTCGGAGGATCGCGCCGCATCGCCGATGCATCGGCGATGCATCAGTGATGCGGCTCGATGTGGGGCCCGATTTTCTCCATGCCGACGTCGCCAGTGGGTGGCCGATGCATCGGCGATGCATCGCCGATATATCGTCGAATCGGCGATATCCTCAGACCCCATCCACTCGGACCCCATCCAGGAGGCCTCTACTCGCGGCCCGAGCCTGGACCCTTGGCTTGCGCGGCCTCTCGCGACTCCCATCCGCCGTTGGCGGGCGATCTCTCTCGCTCTCTCTCCTCCCTCTCCTCTCGCTGTCTGCCTCGCTCGCTACGACGTCTCGGGCGGCACAGCCATCCGCCCCTGACCCAATCCGGGTATAGCCAGGACCCCAGGTAAGGGGAGCCGGTCAGCGATCGGGCCCCGAAGCCCAAAATGTGGCCTGGAACCGCTGAACCAGGCCTGCCGCAGCTGGTGTTTTTCGGGTGACGGCAGTTCCGGTTCGTGGAATGGGTCGGGGGGGCGTTCCCCAGTGCACATCACCAAACCAGGTCTCTTTAAACCCAATTATTTGATTCTACGCATTCATATATATATATATTATTATTATTATGATTATTATTATTATGATTATTGGTATTAGTATTCTTATTTTTAGTACTACTATTAGTAGTCGTAGTATTATTATTGTTGTTATATCCGTAAGGGCTTCGCCCCCTGCCGCCGGCCCCCCCTCTCGGAGAATGGGCCATGGAAGAGCTAAGTCATGAGGCCTTGGCGCTGTCGTGAAGCAGTATCGAAACTTCATGCGAAGCCGATTCGCAATCAGCAAAACCAACTGATCACAAGAGGGGTTACCACACCTGGCGATTGGTAAGACGTGTATGGTTTACGGGCTTGGTTACCACACCTTGCGATTAAAGGGCCGAGGGAGTTCTCGCAGTTTGGGTTACCACGCCTTGCGATGGATGTGCGTGAAGGGTGGCACCGAATTTCAGAAATGTGGCAAATCCCCTGTGTTTTTGGACCCTGACCCCGCGGATCTGCGTGAGGGGTGGCACCGAATTTCAGAAATGTGCAAATCCCATGTGTTTTTGGGCCCTGACCCCGCGGATCTGCGTGAGGGGTGGCACCGGCAAATCCCCTGTGTTTTTGGACCCTGACCCCGCGGATCTGCGTGGGGTGGCACCGAATTTCAGAAATGTGGCAAATCCCATTTTTGGACCCTGACCCCGCGGATCTGCGTGAGGGGTGGCACCGAATTTCAGAAATGTGGCAAATCCCATGTGTTTTTGGACCCCGACCCCGCGGATCTGCGTGAGGGGTGGCACCGAATTTCAGAAATGTGGCAAATCCCATGTGTTTTTGGACCCTGACCCCGCGGATCTGCGTGAGGGGTGGCACCGAATTTCAGAAATGTGCAAATCCCATGTGTTTTTGGACCCTGACCCCGCGGATCTGCGTGAGGGGTGGCACCGAATTTCAGAAATGTGGCAAATCCCCTGTGTTTTTGGACCCTGACCCCGCGGATCTGCGTGAGGGGTGTCGATTTCGAGCCCCCCCAGCAATTCAGACAACGCGCCCAGGGGGTGCTAAATTTCCCGTTTGGGCCTTCCCCCCCCTCGCGCGGTCAATCAACTAGTTACAGTAACCAGCAATAAGTCAACTAGTTACAGTAACCAGCAAGAAGCAGAACTGTAACACTGGAAACTACAAGCTACAACTGGTACAGGAAACTGCGAACCTCGCGCCTACAGCCTGGTGGCCCCACAAGGGGGCCGGCGGATTTCAATATTACGAATATACACCATTGTGTTAACATAACGCAAAAATAGTATATAGTTACGGTTTTCACTTTTCTTTTAATAAGCCAACCGCCCTGACCTAATTCTGGATGCGTGGCGTGTGGGCTGCAACATCCTACCCCGTCCGCCGTGTGCAGGCGGCGCCTCTGTCGCTGCAGCGCACGACAACGCTTTGCCGGGCTGGGCAGGACGTGGTATCCTAATTGGCCTTCCCTTTCCTGTCCGCCCTCCTCCCTCCTCGCTCCCTCCCTCCCGCCTCCCTTTCCTGTCCGCCCTCCCGCCTCACTTTTTCCTTCTGCTCATCGTTCCCTCCTCCCTCCTCGCTCCCTCCTGCCTGCCGCTGACGTTGTCCTTCCTGCGTGCCCTTCTCTTGTCCCTCCTCGTTCTCCTTCCCTGCCTCCTGCCTCAGTCCCTCCTCCACCCCCCCTCATCCTTCGCTCTTCCTCCCACGTCTCCATTCTACTCCTTTCCTGCGTCCTCCCTGCGCCTCCTTCGCCCCCCCCCCCCCACCTCCCCGCTTCCCTCACTCCTGCATCCTTCCCTTCCCCTCATCCCTCCACCCCACCTCCCCTCTTTCCTCCTCTCCTCCTCCCCTCCTCCTCCTCTCCTCTCCTCCTCCCCTCCTCATCCTCTCCTCTCCTCCTTTTCCTTCTCCTCCTCCTCCTCCTCCTCCGCCTCCTCCTTCTCCTCCTCCTCCCCCCCCTCCTCCCCTCGTCCCCTCCTCCTTATCCTGCTTGTCCCCTCCTCACTATCATCCCCTCCTCATCCCCTAGTCCCGCCGCCCCGCCCCCCCGCCGCGATCCTCCCTTCCCTCGCTCCGCCTTCCTGCGTCCTCCCTCTTCCCGTCCGCCTCCCCCGTCCTGCTCCCTGCCTCGGAGTAGGGGATCGACTGAAGAATTGCTTTGCCCCCTGCTCGATTTCCTTGTCGTGTCTACGAGGAGCAGAGGCATGATGCTGCCTGCACCTCCTGAGCATGCCGCGCCTTTTCTATGGTTGGCCCAGCGAGGAAGTTGAATTTGGGGGTGCATCGATCCTGCAGTTGATCCAACTCATAGGCCCAAATCCACGACGTTCGCTGGCGCCGCGTCGGCGCCGCGCCCTGTTTCCATGCCCCCGATGCACAGATAAGCCGAACCTGTGTTTCCTCATTCGCCCCGTGACCCCCCCCCTCTGGTAGCAGACCCGCGGCGGATCCCCTGCTCGATCCCTCCCCCCCTCCCACCCCGCACGACGTCCTGCGCCCTGCAGCGAGCACGTGCCACGCCAGGGCGAAACCCCGAACGGCGGACGGCTTGTGTGTGCGTGTGCATGCACATATGGAGACATGAACTCCTCTACGCGTGCATACACGCATGCAGGCATATGTACTGAAGCCGGCCTATGGTGCCCCGTGGTTGGGTAGAGAGAGATCGATCGTGAGAGCAACAGTGAGATCGAGAGTGCGATCGAACTTTGGATCGTTCATGCGTTCGATTGGCAGATCGATGTTGAGTCAAGATCGACTGTGAGATCGATAGCGAGGTCGATAGTGGGATCGAACGTGAGGACGATAGTCAGGTCGATCATGAGACCGATAGTGAGGTCGATTCAGTGAGATCGATCGTGAAATCGATCATGAGATCGTTAGACCGATCGATAGTGAGATCGGTTGTGAGATCGACAGGGGGATCGATTATGATATCGATCGTGTGATCGATAGTGAGATCGATAGAGAGGTGGGTAACGAGATTGATGGTGAGACCGATCGATAAGGAGATCGACCAGGAACCTGGGAATCCGGGAACCCAGGAATCCCGCCACAACGAAATCGGCCCGGAACCAGCAACCGGGCACCGGGGAACCAGGAACCCAGGAACTTTGCCGCCTCTTGAAATCGGCCCAGTTCTTTCGCTAAATCTTTCAATCCCCGCTAGAACCCCTTCAGTGCAAGCACTGATGGGGGATCCTCTCCTTCTATGTAGTGGGTTGTGAATCCCGCACAGCGGATCCAGGCCATCTGCGAGCAGTTACTGTTCGAGTCGTGCAGTAAATGATAGGAGCCTTGTGTACCCTCGCAATTCCTCCTTTCGCGTCGACTGTGACGATTCAGCGTCGCTTCGCGTCGACCAGCGTCCTTGTATTATCGGTCGTCGTCGATTCCCGAGAGCCGACAGGATGGTATGGGAGGCTCCCATGAGTCGGGGGTGGACAGACCTCCTACCCTGACACGTCGATTCAGGAATTGGCCGTTTTCGGTTCGCGAAAGGCCGTCGCGGCCGTCATTTTGCGGGGCCATGTCCGTCGCTTTCGGTCCCAGGCCGTTATCCCTAAGGGGAGGTTTGCGAAAGGAAGGTTTGTCCGTCGCCGATTGAGTTGCGAGCGGGGTATGCATGACGAGATTGGCAAGCCTTCCCTGTGCATGGAGCCAGCGACGCCGGAGGCTTCGCATCGCATTTCGCTGTGGTGTTTTGCCCATGCACCTCCGACGTGCACGGCTTCTCTTTCTCTCTCTCTCGATTGCGTTGCGACCGAACTCGTCCAGGGATGGTTGGAGCTCTGGGGCGGCAGCGGCGGCGAGAGGCGTGGACGGCGGCGGGCGGCGCAGCGGCGGCGGCCGCCCCCCTCCGGCGGGCCGCGGGCGGCCTGCCCGCGAGGTGGAGCGGCTGCGGGCCCTGAAGGCCCTGCAGGCTGCGCGCGCCACGCCTGCCTCGCGCCTCCTCCCTCACCCCCAGCCTGCGTTTCCGCCTCCTCCTCCTCCTCCTCCTCCTCCTCCTCCTCCTCCTCCTCCTCCTCTTCCTCCTCCACCTTCTCCCCGTGCTCCCCGTCCTTCTCCTCCTCCTCCTCCTCCTCCTCCTCCTCCTCCTCCTCCCCGTGCTCTCCCTCCTCCTCCCCGTGCTCTGCCTCCTCCTCTTCCTCCTCTTCCTCCTCCTCCTCCTCCTCCTCCTCCTCCTCCTCCTCCTCCTCCCCCTGATTCCTGATTCTTGATGGCATGAGAAGTCTCTCCGACTGCCGCCCCCCTCCTTTCGGGACAGTCGTCCCTGGGGTGGGAGATCAAGCTAGAGCCTGGTGGCCCTTGCATGTAAAAAAGGTAGAGAAAGGCAGACATGCAGGAGGGGAGGAGAAGGGAGACGACGAAGGATCACGACCTCGAAGGGGGGATGTAAGTAGGGGGATATGTGCGGCAGAGTGTGGCAGGCTTAGACAGCAGCGTGTGGCGGGCTGCTTGTGGCTAGCGCTGGGCCCAGGGCCGCTGCTGGGTCCTCCCCATTCGGGTCAATCGGTCCTGTTGGGCCGGCGCCCTAGGGGGCGCACTAGGCCTCCGCACGCAGATGTGCCCAACATGACGGAGGAGGGGGGGGGGAAGCAAGCTGGCCTGCGACGGGGTAGAGGTAGAGTGTGAAAAAGTCAAAGGTGTGCCTTCCCCCCCCCCCGTTCCCTCCCCCCGCCTCTCCTCTCCTCCTCTCCTCTCTCGCCACCCCTCCGCGCGCCGCCGCACGGCAAGGCGAAGGACGGCGGCAAGAAGGAGCAGTGACCCGCCGGCGCCGCGCCGCCCAGGTCTCCCCCGGCCCCCCGCCCGCCGCGGGCGGCGCGGCGCCGCCACCGCCGTCGTCGGTGTGCCCCTCACATCGCTGCGAGCCGATCTGGGGTCATTCTATACTGAGGAGCCAATCTTCCACTTCCACCTCCATAGGGAGGAGGAGGGGGAGGAGGAGGAGGAGGAGGAGGAGGAGGAGGAGGAGGAGGAGGAGGCGGAGGAAGCAGAGGAGGGAGAAGACGAGACACCCGCTCTCCGATGCCTGCGCCCCTGCTTTGATCGCCCCGCCCCAGCCGCCCGCCCGCCGCGGCTTCGGCCTCTCCTCCCCTCCCAGCGGCTCGAGCCCGGCTCACGACGTCCCCCCAGCGCACACTGAAGCGGCCCCCACAAGGCGCGCGCGGCCGTGGGAGGCAAGGAGGGCGGGGCGGCGACGATGGCGGTCTTGGATTTCCTGGCGGGCGTTCTTCGGGCGGGTGGCACAGTCGGCCCGCATAGTGAGGACGGGCGATTTTCCCAAGGCCACCCTTGCCTCCTTGCCTCCTCGGTTTATCCTTGGCCACTTTCGTTGGCCGCGCGTCGCCCGAAAGGCTTCGACATGGGCACCCGAGGCCCTTGCATCCTTACCGCGCATCCTCATGGTATGGGGGCCACTGCAGTGGGGGACTGTGTGACCCAGAGGTGGCGAAGCGAGGGGCCCGAGAGGGACCCTTCGGGGAGCCAGCAGGGGCCCACACGGGGCGCCGAAGGGCCCCTTTCGGGCCCTTGTCCCCCCCCCCCCCCATTTTCAGTCGAGGCGGGGATGCAGAACCACCGCCTGGAGGATGGATCCTTGGAGACCTCCGCGGGCGGGGTGGCTACGGCTCTGTTTGGGCCCCCGGGGGGCCCGACTCCGTCCGCATTCGGGAGCCTTGACACGTGGGTCAACGCAAACGTGGGTCAGCCAGAGCGCCCCGACCTTGCAGGATCCTGCAGGGCCAGGGTCGCATTGACCCGGGTTTGGGTGCAGGATCCTGCAGGATCTTGCAGGATCCTTCGCATTGACCCGGGTTTGGGCGCAGGATTTTGCAAGGCCTGACTGACCCGGGTCTGGATTGACCTGGGTCAGAGGACCTCCGACGCATCCGCCGCCCGCTGGGTGGCCAGGGCGTCGGTTCCCAGGCGATGGAGGGAAAGTCCCCGCGTCGCAGTGGAGGCCACCCCCGAGTACCACCCGCCCGATCTGGGGGGCGGAATCGCGGCGGGTGGTGTCCGGCACGTCGCGGCCCTCTTTTGGGCCTCGACGCTGTGGCAAAATATCACTACGTTGGGGTCCCTGTCCTGCCGCCCTTCCCACCAGCCTTGGGCCGAAGAGGCCTGCAAGTCTGGCGGCCCCTGGCCTGGTTGCCACTACGGCACACACATGGGCCCCCAAGAGGGCGGAAACGTCGACGACGACGGCCACGACCACGACGGCGGCGGCGGCGGCGGCGGCGAGGCCAGCGGCGGCGAGGACGACGACTACGACGCCGTCGGCAGCGGTGGCGGTGACGCCGACGGTTTGCCGCAGCCAGCGGAGGGAGGGCGCGGGGGGTAGGCCTGGCGGGGCGAGCATGGAGCATGGGGCGGCCGTCGAGCGCTGGGCCGCGGATCGAAGCTTCTGGGCTTCCCCCTCCTCTTTCCGGCGCTGCGCATGGGGCGTGGTCAATTCGTCATCGAAGGTCAACGCATCAGAGGCGGCCTTGCCTTCATCGAGGCGCAGCTGTACGTCCCCCTCGTGCCGCTGCTCTGCTTCGTCTGGGTGTTCGTGTTTGTCGTCCTCGGCTCGTTCGACCTCCCATGTCGAGATACAGAGGTGGAGCGTTGAGTTCAAACAAATAGCTTGGCGAGGGACCAATTTTTATCAGCTTCGAAAAAAGTGGTGATTGACCTCTCGATGCTCGGCCCATGCGAGGGATGTGCCGAGTTGTGCGGGGAGACGCATGCACAGTTTCGAATTGGGGCCGTTCGTGGAGCGCCTTAGCTCAGGGGCGCGGATCATGTGAGTGTGCGCCGACATGCGCGGGGAAATGCACGCAAGCTTTCCCATTGGGGCCGTAGGTAGGGCCCAATGTGAGGTGTGTGCGTGTGTGCTGACACGGGCGGAAACAACCTTGTTCTTGTTGAGGCCGTCCGTATGTGGAGCTGTCATTTGAGGCCACGATTTTCGTGGGAGGTGCTCCGACATGGGCGGTGCCGCCATGCGGACCCTCCCCTGAATGGCCACGATCCTGGTGAGTGGTGCGCCAGCATGGGCGGCGCCGCCATACGAACCTTGCCCGTGGGGCCGCAGGTGCAGGTCTCTACGGGGCTTCGGTCTTCATGAGTGGTGTACCGAAGTGGGCGGCGCCCTCCTGCCGAGGCAATATGGGGAGCTCCCAGGCGAGGCCAAAATTGCCGTAAAGGGCGCGCTGAAAAAAAAGGAAGCGCCGCCGCGCAGAGCTTGTTTGGGGCCGCAGGCGGAGCTCGCTACAGGGCCACCATCCTTCTGAGCGGTACGCGGCCATCGACGGTGCCGCCATGCGGGCGCCCTCACCGGGGCAGCAAATGGAGCTTCCAACGGTGCCACGAGTTGTGCGCCGACAGGCGGCGCCGCGAAACGGACGACTTCGCTGGGGCCGCGGCTGGAGTTCCCTGCGGGGCCACGGTCCTCAGTAGCGCTGTCTGCCAGCGTGAGGCGGCGCCGCCACACGGGCGGCCCCCACTGCGGCCGCAGGTGAAGCTCTTTGTTGGGCCACGAGACGCGTGAGGAGTGTGCCCAAATATGCGCGGGCACGCATGCGATATTTGTCCCCGGACATTCCCGTGGAGGCCCCATGTGGGGCCACGAAGCGTGTGAGAGGTGTGCCGGAACTGACGGTATTTTTCTAGCGGGGCTTACGCCCTGCCCCGAGCTGTCTTCGCCGCGCATCATCGATGCGGCGGGGGTCCAGGCCTCCTGTCGTCTCAATGGAGGGCCCTTACTGGGAGCGCCGGGAGTGCTGAAACGGCAGCTCGTGATGTGGAAGGCCGTCTTGGGGAAAAGGGTCAGACATCATAGTCCTTGAGGAGCGTTCAAAAAGGAACGAAAGGCATTCTTCTGGTAATAAGCTTGGGGGGGTACCCGCCTGGTCGTCGCGCCGCGACGGGGGTCAGAGCGCCTTCGGCTCGCGGTGGCTGCCCGCGACGGGGGTCGATGTGGGGCTGTCGGCGGGGGTGACGCCCGCCCGACGCTTATGAAGAAACTCGGAGTAGGGTTCCCGTCCTCATTGCTGCAGGGTGGCCCTGAGCCCAAAGTGGTTTTATTTCCGCGTCGTGCCTGTAGAGTTGGCAGGATAATTGGGAGGATGATGATGACGGACGTGAGAGGGTGTCCTGTTGCATTGGAGACGAGCAAGAGGCGGAAGGGTAGATAGGAGGACCCCGGCGAGGTCGAAGCAGAAGGCAACGTCAAGGACGACGACCTAAGGACGATGTCGAGGGTGGGGATAAGGAGGAGGAGGAGGACGAAGGGCAATGGCTATGCCTCAGAACACCCGCGCGCTCCCAGAGCTCCGGCGCCGTGATGTTATTCCCGACGCGGACGCCCAGAGGTCTGGATCCTTCCCCCCAGGGGCACTGGCGCTTCGTCCCCAATCGTTTTGCCAAGAGGTTGTGCTTGCTTTTAGACGCAGGCGAGCTTACTTGCACTACACTGCCCGCCCCCCCCCGCCTCGACCTCTGCCGCCATTCTCAACAGCGCTGGGCTGGGCCGACCAGGCGTGCAAGCGAGTCCCGACGCGCGTGAAGTCCAGGTTCCCTTTGGCGCCTTCACACCATCCCCCACCCTTCTCCCTCCTTTCAGGAGGGAAAGAAACACACAGACACAATTAATCGTTGATTCCCAAGAATATATGGGAAAATATGGGAAATGGGGGGGATGACGAAAAACCCAGAAAATATTAGAAAATATTGGGAATATATTTATTTGTGTGTATTTATTTGTGTGTCCTGGGGCCCCTTGCATCCTTGCAAGTAAACTTGCCAGACCCTGAAGAAAACACTGCCTCGAACGGTCTTGAGAAGTGCCTGGCGAGGGCCACCGCAGGCCGAAGATGAGCCCAACACACAGCCAGCCCGCATGGTCAGGACGGGCAGCCTTCCCAAGGGTACCCTCGCATCCTCCCCTCCTCGGTCCATCCGTCGGCAGTCTCTCAGGAGGGAAAGAAACACACAGACACAATTAATCGGCGATTCCCCAGAAAATATAGGAAAATATGGGAAGTGGGGGGGAAGACAAACACCCAGAACATTTGGGAAGATATGGGGGATAGTTTTATTTGTGTGTATTTATTTGTGTGTCCTTGGGCCCCTTCAGTCTCGTTGTCCGCGCCCCGCTCGAAAAGCTTCGAAATGGGCGTCCGAGGCCCTTGCACCCTCGTCGCGCATCCTCACAGTACGGGCCGACCGTGGGCCTCCGCGGCGGCGGTTCCACGAGGCCCGGCACCCGTGCGCTCCCGGCGCTCCCGCGGCCGAGAGGCGCCTTTTCCAGGCGATGGCGCCCGTTGCACTCGCGGTCGTCGCCACCCTGCTCGGCCTCTCCAGCGGCGGCCGCGTCGACCGGGGCAGGCAGCCCATGAGGGGCGGAGACCCTCCTCCCTCCTCCTCCTCCCTCCTCCTCCCTTCTTCTCTCCTCCTCCTCCCTCCTCCTCCTCCTCCTCCTCCTCCTCCTCCTCCTCCTCCTCCTCCTCCTCTCCTCCTCCTCCTCCTCCTCCTCCTCCTCCTCCTCCTCCTCCTCCTCCTCCTCCTCCTCCTCCTCCTCCTCCTCCTCTCCTCCTCCTCCTCCTCCTCCTCCTCCTCCTCCCTCCTCCCCCTCCCCCCCCACCTCCCTCCTCCCTCCTCCTTCTGCTCCTCCTCCTCCTCCGCCTCCTCCTCCCTCGCTCCCTCCCTCCCTCCCTCCTCCACCTTCCTCCTTCCCTCCCTCTTAAGTCATCCTCCTCCTCCTCATCCATCCTCCTCTTGTCCGTCGCCATTTTGCCTCAAGTGCTGCGGTCTTCCCCCCGCCTGGCGGCGCGCGTCCAGCCATGGGGGTCTCGAGTGCGGAACTCGCGATCACCGTCGAGGGCGTCATGCGGGGCGTTGCAGGCGGAGGTCAACGTGCAGCGGTGGCTGCGGCGGCGGCGGCGTGTGTCCGCGTGGCGGCGGAAGTGCTGCAGGGTATCGCGGAGCCGTCCGACGAGCAGGTCGAGACGAAGGAAAGGATGAAGGCAATCGAGCCCGTCATCCAGAAGCACGTCCAGGCAGGCGGGCGCGGGGTTCGCGCCAGCATCCCTGGAAGCGGCAAGAAGCTGCGCAACCAGGCCTCCCACCATCGCTTTGGTGCTGGGCCTGGCGCGTGGCGCGAGGCGTTCTTTCCGACCGTGCAGGACAATGCGGACGTGTGCAAGGATGTGCTGGGTGGCGACTCCCAGAAGAAGATCGAGGACATGCAGGTCATCGAGGAGAAGGAGGTCGCGGCGATCATGAAGCCGCCGATTACCAAGCAAGTCGAGAGGTTCGCTCACGGTCCGAAGGTGGAGGCGGACGCGTCGTTGACGCACCTCGTCGAGAAGGACCTCCTGGTGCCGAAGAAGGCCGAGGAGAAGGTGGAGGTGCCGATGCTGGCGCACGTCGAGAGGGACACCGACGCGCAGAAGGCGGAGCATTCGGACCCCTCGGCCGACAAGGTGTGTGACGACACGGTCAAGAACGTCGCAGGATTCGGGAACAGCGTGGAGGTGCCGAAGTTATTGTTGGGCCTCCCGCCGCGGGCGCAGGAGATTGCCATGGAGGCCATGAAGGACGCCGAGGCCAGGCACCGTGCAAGGATCGGCTACGGCTGGTCCGGTCGCGGCGCTCGTCGGCCAGGTCGGGGTCCTGTTCTCGGGAGCTCAGGCAGGTCGCGTTCGTCTTCGACGGCCGCGGGGTGGTGGTCTGAGCTCGCGCGTTCGGGGCGCGGAGGCTCGTGTTCCTCCTGCGCCCCGCGAGTTGCGGAGGATCGTGTTCCTCCTGCACCTCGGCTCGGCGCGGAGGCCCGTGTTCCTCCTGCACCGGGCGTGCTTCCTTGGCGGCGCGGAGGCACGCGTTTTTCCTGCGCCGCCTGGGCTCGATGTTTAAGGGTGCGGAGGCTCGTGTTCCTCCTGCGCCTCGGCTCTGTGCGGAGGCTCGTGTTCCTCCTGCACAGGGCGCGCTGCTTTGGACGTGCGAATGCTCGCGTTCCTTCTGCACTCCAGGGGCCTTTGGACAGGGACAGGGTCCCCATGGGTCACTCCTCGGTCACTCCATCCTCCTCTTGATTCCTGATTCCGGATGGCGTCAGGAGTCTCCGACTGCCGCCCCCCCCCACCAGGGCACCAGGGCGGATCGGCCCCAGGGGGTTGATCAAACCAGACCGCCAGGTGGACGATGCCACCGGCAGAAAGGAGATAACCCGACATGGTTAACACAGGCAGATTAGGAGGAGATGCGGAGAAGGAGCATGGCTGAGGGGAACAAGAAGTGGCATGAACACAACAACTCGAAGGTCCGCGCGGATTTCTCGGATCGACGGTGGGCCCCCTGGCGGCGCCTCCGGCGCCGACCCTGGCGCGCTCCGCGCGCCAGGGAGGGGGGTCCAGCGCCGATCCGAGAAATCCGCGCGGACCTCCGAGTTTTTATGTTTATGCCACTTTTTGTTCCCCCATGACTGCCGCGGGAGGATGGAAGTAATGGGGTGTAGACTGTGGCATGTGGCAGTGTGACAAATGTTGGTTGGGCCCTTGAGCCTTGTTTCTGTGGCTGGGCCGGGCCCCCCTCTTTCGAGTCGCCCGCCTGGCCCCGTTGGGTTAGCGCTCTGGGAGGTGCCAAGGGTCCCGTTAGACTAGGTCAGGTTGGTCGTGGTGCGGCGCCTTCAGCACCCTCCGCCCAACACTCACATTCCAGCTGGAAGGTAGCTCTAAGGTCTTTTGACAGTCGTGTGAGCGCCCACCCTGGTTGTAGCGGCAGGTGTTGCCCTCGGGGCTGCTCTGGGCCATGAGGTTGCAGAGGCAAAAAGGGAGATGGGGTTGGAATGGCTGAAGAGGTGGATGTGTATTCGGCCAGATAGCCGCTGACACAACAATGGAAGCGCAGTCGAAGCCGTGGAGGAGCGAGGATACGGGTACGTTGGTTGCGTGCTGGCGTTGTGGCAGTGGAGGTGCCTATCCACGCTTGGCGGCGTGGAGGGCACAAGGGCCTCTCCCTCTGCTCCTCGGAACCCTACCCAGGCGTCCCTGGGGTCCAAGGCGGGGTCCGGCACTCGAGACCAGTCGTAGGGTTCCCAGCACACTGACCCTGGAGCCCCTTGGCAGCGGTTCCACCGATCGTGAGGGAGGCGCGTGCCCTCCAGGCGGTGGCTGGCCCCCCCACTCTCGCCGAGAGTGGCGGGCGGCCACTCTCGCCCAGGTGGACGGCGTGAGGGCCCCTTCCCCCGCGTATAGGAAGCCTCCCGAAGCGTCCACCATCCCCGCGAGTGGTACCCTCCCCTGGCACGCAGGAGTTGGGTACCCAGGTCACGGGGGTGGTGGCCGGTTGGGGGGGGTCCATTGCGCTTGGGGGAGGTTGATGCCATCCTTGGCGGTAGCGCGGTGTGGGTCTGTAGGTCCCCATCCCGAAGTGATAGCCCCCTCCGCTAGCTGCGGCAGCGACCGAAGGCCGCTGCAGCTACTGGAAACAAGGGCAGGGGAGTGGAGGTAGGCCGAGTGGTGACTGCCAGAGTGTGCGTCTGCGGCTGCTTGGCCACGGCCTCACCGACCCTTGCCGTGTGGGCCTGTGGCGAGTCCCCTTGCTCGCCCCGCCCACGAAATAACCCCGCCCCGTCCCGCCGCCACAAGAGGGGTAGGGGTGTAGTGAGGCTAGCGAGTTGAATTTTTTGGGGAGTGGGGCTGCGAGAAGACAGCCAGGAGGTACGAGAGGTTCGAGGTTGGTGGAGGCATTTCAGCACGTGCGTCGGGTGAGCTGGCGTAGCTCGTGGGTGAAAAAATAACAACTCGGGGACCCCCTGCGCAACATAGTTTTTTTTTTTCTGGCGACTTCGCCGTGTGCACCAGCAGGAGTCCCTTTGCTGCCGTCGGAGGGCGAGTCTGGAGATGGTACGACCAGCTGTACTGCGGCCGATGCCGTCCAGCAGCGCAGCTTCTGGTTACGAACGATAGTACACGGGTGAGGAGTCGGAACGCAGCAGGTGGTGTTACGTATCCTGTCAGTCGTGGAGCAACATTGGACAAAACTTGTACAGATTTCAGAGGAGGTGGGCGCACTAACGGGCCGCTGTAAGGCCGTGGGAGATCAGGGGGGAGAGTCCTGATTTGCCGTGGCTAGGTCGTGCTGCTGTCAGGCGATCGCAAACATGGATTAATGGGGCGTGGATTAGCGACGGGCCCCGTTTTCGTAAGAAATCACGGGCTTCCGCCGCCGAGCGAGGCGGCACGGGCCGCATTTTGGGGAGGGCACCTCCCCCGATCCAAGGATTTGGCGACCGCGCGCTAAATCCATGGATCGCTAATCCATGTTTGCGCGCCCCAGATTGCGGTACTGCTTGTATTCAACTTCCCGCGGTGGCCAGTCGTCTGTGCTGGTCTCTTTGTATGCGCTTTCGACGTGGGCCTGGTTGGATTCGTGCTGGCCGGTTGCCGGCATGATTTGCGTCGCGTCGGGGTGTTGCTGCTGGTAGTCGCACGTAGCTGTCACCCGAACCATGTCGGTGTCTCCAGTGAGGCTCCTTGCCAGCTTGGTCTGGCTGCCAGAGTCAGTCCTGGCCCATGGTGCCATTGTCGGTGGATCGGTGCTCTTGAACAATTTGGTGTCGGCTGTTGGGTTGGTCAATGCTTGTTTTTTGGGGGGCTGTTTCTGCGGCGCTGCGAGCTCTGCCAAGGGTGCCCGCCTGTTGCGGCTTGGGAGCTCCTGGATTTGGTTGCGTTCGCCTGTCTGTGTCGGTTGCACGTGCTGAGGTGGGGCAGTTGGTTGCTGCACATTTGGGTCGGCTTAACGGTAAGTTGTTGGGTCGGATTTGAGATTGGTTGGGTTGAATTGTGTTTGCGGCTGAGCCTTAAAGGGAAAGTGGTTGTAAGGTTTGGTGGTGAGGTGCGCCTTTGTACGTCAGCGATCGGCTCGGTCACTGTGAAGGTAGCACGAACTGCTTCTCTCGCTTGGCGTCTCTTTCTGGGGTCTCCGAATGTCGTTACCTCTCGCACGAAGCAGGGTCGGGTATCGGTCGTTCGTCGTGCTTGGTGGGTATGGTTGTCCATGACCGTTTTGGCGGGTCCTGAAGCACTAGCTTGTCATATGTTGTTCTGCCACATCCGGTCGTGGTGGGTCTGGCGTTCGTCGAGTAAGGAGCCGGTATCCCTCGCATACTAGGTCGAAGTCGTGTCCCATCCGTAGCCTGTGCTGGTGTAGTGGTGCTCTGTGACTCCGTTGAACTCGGCAATGGTAGTATCCGTCGTGGGTACACTACGCCGTCCTCTCTATCAAAGCCCTAAGTGTGGGAGCTGCTCGGTTCGTTGGTCCGTCGAAACGGTGCCATAGCAGGTCCTTTCTTTTTGTCGGGGCTGCTTTGTGTGCCCGTCTCAATT